TTATTATGTTATATTTATTTAATTAATTTATTAATTAGTTAATTATATTTATGTTATATTTATTTAATTTTTATGTTATATATATATATATATATATTAAAAAGAACAGAAGATGTTGACAACTTAAGAAGTACGTGTGTGTGTGTGTGTGTGTGTACTGGTTCCATGTAGCTTGGGAAATATCTGTGTATATGTGTGTATGTGTGTGTGTACTGATTACTTGTGGTGGGATAGTGTGTATGTGCGTATGTGTGTGTATGCGTGCATAGGTACACATAAGTTTACGAATTCCTCGTAGTAAGACAGTATATGTATGGAGGGGAAATATACGCACGCATATATACACGCATGCTGACAGGAACACACCAAAATGGAAACAGATCCAAGAGCACATAGGGGTCACTAAAACATTAAAAGATAAAATGCCGATAACTACTCGCTGGACAAACCTTAATTGTTTTATGACCCTTCGCGCAGAACTCTTCATTGACAATTCTAGAAAGAAAATTCGGATTACCAACACACAAACAGAGAATGTCTCATATCGAGAATATTTCACATTGAACATGAAGAAAAAATTAATTATTTTTAATAATATGTAGAAATTCCACTTTTACCTGAAGACGGTTGCGAGACCAGAAACACGTGTCGTAAAATTATGTAAAACAAAGCATAATATTTTTTCTAAATAAATCCACATTACAACCAAAAACGATTGCGGCACCTCTCTTCTCTTCTTTTCAATATACATACTTTTCTCTCGTTGGAACCACTACAACATATTTCTTTTATATATATATATATATATATATATATATTTTTATATATATATATATGGATAGATGTAGATAGATAGATAGATAGATAGATAGATAGATAGATAGAGAGAGAGAGAGAGAGAGAGAGAGAGAGGGAGAAGGTACAGGGAAGCAACGTTATGGCAATGGGAAAGTAACTGATGCCGAGATGCCAGGTCAGAACTGGTAATATTGCAGATTCTTCGAATTTTTATCAAGTATCTCTAAATACGCAGCAGAAACGCCTGTTCAGATGTGACAAATCATTCCCCCTGTTTTCTTTGGCCCGGCTATCTCGCTTTTAATGTCCGCAAATAAAAATCATTAGAACGCCTGGCAAAACCCTTGAGACAACGTCAAGTAGGTCAAACTCTCAGGTCCACTTATTTGTCAAATAACAGGTCGATATCAGACAGATTAAAAATCAGTTTTGGCACCAACTTTATATTTCACGCTCATAATCTACTCAAGACTATTTGCAGTAGATCGTAAAGGCTGATTATATCATGTTATGATGGTAGAGCGTCGTGTGCCCCCCCCCAGCCCGACCAATGGTAGTTTTGTTCACTACGTTTGTTCTTATGTCTTTTTAAGTTTTAACCGTTTAGACAACCGAACGACCGACACTGAATAAACGGACACGTGGAATGTTATGTGTAACTGTACTTAAGCCAATGCATAGAATGCTATGGTGATTATCTCAGAGGAGCCTTGATCAAGAATCGGCAGCCTACGGCACGCGTGCCACATGTGGTACGCCAAGCAATTTCCAATGGCACGCCTCTGCAAATAAAGTCCCAACCAAGAACTACTACAACGCAAAGAAGATATTTAGCTGTTACAATTTTTAATATATCCTAAAATATATATAATATGTATATCTATATAAAATATATTGTATGTTGATCGTGACTTGTATAAAAATACGTATACTGTTGGCACACTGAATGATTTTAAAACCCTAAGTCGGCACATAGCAAAAAACTGCCGAAACCTGGCCTAGATGTCAAACAAAGCCGAAAGTGGAAAGCATCCAGTAAGGAGCGAACTCACTAGTCAGTCGCAATTGTTTTAAAAAAACAAGCTCGCTAACCATTGCACCACGTCGAGGTGACTATCCATGGAATATTATGAACACACACACACACACACACAGAGCGAGAGAGAGAGAGAGGGGGGGAATGCATGTAGAGATTTGCGAAGGTTTCGTGAAATTCGAATGTTATAGATCAAACTGAAATTGATGAAGAGTACAGTGAAGGGATCTCGAATTTCTTCACATGTAGAATGAGAGTGCTCAAAGAGTCATAGAGTGAATTCTTAAAGACAAGAATAAATTGCTACCGATTAAGAGATGGGTTTGACCTGAAAAAAACTAGTTCAGTGGAATCGATCGACACTGGATGAACTGAGAGAGCGACCCTGATAGGCATGTTTGATAGAAAACAGACTAATCGTCATACAGGGAAAAAAAAAAAGTAAAGAGTCCTTGATAATGTATCCAGTGAACTCTCGCTTCAAAACAACGATAATCACGGTTTTAAAAAACTTAGTTTTTATTTTTATTTTTTGCGCTGTTTTGAATAGTCGCTACATTCAGAACAGAGTTGCCAATTTATCACTTTTTGAGCCTTACCTTGCACTTCATCAGTGCATGTCTATTACTTCTTCTGCATGTTGCGTCCCTTCGAACTTCCGGACAGAGGCGGTCATGGCTCTCTATAACTTACTAACAGGTGTGGCTCTTAGCAGATTTCCCCCTTTCTTAAGGGCTCCCGTCGCCCGTTGCTCTACCCATTCACGCCATGTAAGTGACTCATTGTCTTCCGCTATGTTCCCTGTTAAGTTCTGTAAGTATTCTTTCTTCATTAACACTTCCCCGGCGTAGACGTGTATGTACGTTTTGTTTATTTATTTTTTTTTTATCGAAAGTCATTTTTCAAAATTAAAAAAAAAATGTACAAAACCAGCTTATAACGTTCTTATACGTCGATCTGGATTCTTTTTTACATCCTTCTAGTTTGGTTTAGTTTAGTTTGTTTTACAGTTTATCAATCTCAATGGGTTACTTAATGCCGACAATATTTTTATTGCTGGTAAATTTAAAAAAAAAATATATTGCTGGTAATATTTTTTACCAAAAGACTATTGCTGGTAATAATTTTTTCATCAAAAATGCATTGCTGGTATTAAAACATATTTTCACACGTTTGACCCCAGTTGGGACCCTAACAGGTGCTACCACAGGTGCCTGCTATATATATATATATATATATATATATATATATATATATATATATATATATATATATATATGTATGTATGTATGTATATAGTGTGTGATTGAAAAGTAATTGACCATTTAATTTATTTTAACTATAATTTCAACAAGAAATGGATATGAGAGAAAAGCGTTTAGCATGAGGTTTTATTTAAAATTCGATATGGGCACGCGATTTCGCTACCATCTTCTCGAGCCGCCCAGGAACTCTAGTGGTATGGAAGACATAACTTATTGAATTCGCTCTTTAAGTTCTTCCAAAGTCTTAGTTTAGTATAGCAGACTTTCTCCTTTAACCAACCCTAAAGAATAAAAGTCACCATGTACTTATGAACTCATTAAATCACTCTTTTTTGTCAACTATCGGGGTAGATATTTTGTCATTGTCTCTGGGTGACAAAACAGAAAATAGGCAGAAGTGAGTTTATACCTTTTATCGAGGGCATTAATGTCAATTGAACCTCAGTAATCCCAGTAGTAGTCTCGATGGGACATACATACAAGCGGAAAAGCGTTTAGCATCAGGTTTTATTTAAAATTCGATATGGGCACTCAATTTCGCGACCAGCTTTTCAAGCGTCAAATGATTTCACCAGGAAGTCTTGTGGCTTCGAAGACATAACTTCTTGTATTTGTCCTTCAAGTTCTTCCAAAGTCTTGGTTTGATATATAGTAGACTTACTCCTTTAGCCAATCACATACACACAAACACACACACATATATATAAAACATTATGCTGTGTGTTTTGTACATTTTCTCTCGTTCAATTCGAGATTTAAATATTCTTAAAAGTAGGTTTTCTTCGACGAAAGAAGTGACGTCAAATGCTTTCTTTCGAAATAAAATGTTTTCTATTGAAATGGCGCTGAAGAAGAATTAATTTTTTATTGTCAGTTGGTGAGGAATGAAGCCCGTGAGAAAGAGAAAGGTTAAAAGACTCGTAGAAATAAGAAGGCCACCTGCTGACGTCAGAAAGAATTATTCCTTTCTCCTGATATTTGGTAAACATTAGTGAGACATTTTTTTCATTATTTGTTGCTATTGGATAAACAAGGCTAGCAGAAATTCGCAAGGCTTTTTCTTCGATTTTACAATCTAAGGAGTTGTTTTTTTTTAAGTATTTTTTACTTGTAAAAGCAATTTTAAATGTTAAATATTGCTTTTCCTCATGATTTATGAAAGAGTTGGCAATATCGGTTGAGTTGCTACGTGAGTTTCCACGGCTATATTCAGAACACTACATCGAAAGTTGCATTGTCTCTGTTTCTTGCTGAAAATAAAATTAGCCCCCCTTTTCACCAGTAGAAGTGTTTTTGTTTTGTTCTATAAAAATATCGTAACAGATGTTTTATACTGGGTAATTTTATCATCCTTAGTAGGAAAATTTTGCTGACAACTTGTCAGTGACGAAGAGGGAAAAGTGAGTGTCAGTGACTACCTAGTTCTAGTAGTTTCCGTCACACCTGTTCTTCTCGAGGCGGAAATTCTTACTATCCACTGTGCCATGTGTCCTTGAGGATAAAGGCGTTGGTTAGATCCAATGACAGGACCCAAAGAGTGTGAGTTCAATACCCGGTTAAGGCTGTGGAGAACTTTCAGAGGGAAATTAACAGGGGATAAATGATAACTGACATCCATTAAATATGGCACGTGGAACTAGAACAGTCTACCCCAGTGAGCGAAATAAAGGATTCAGTTCGACATTCCAACCACCTGAGGAAGGCTGGAGCGTACAACGTCCTAAACGTTGTGATAAATATGGCGACAAAGATGAGGACAATAGTCCGAATAATGTAAATAATGTACATAATAACTCATCTCAGAAATATAGACAGATTATAAAGTAAATATAATAATTTTTAACTATTTGGAAAATTTATTGAGGAATTCCGACGACACCTCACAGTCATCCTACATTCTAATGACAGTTCGTTTAAACGAGTTTTCCTTCTCAAAGAGGGACTACCTCGGACACGGTTACGGAATCCAGTCTACCCCTGACTGTGTTTGATAATTAAGTATAACTCATGACTTAAATGTTAAGATAAAATAATATTTAATTACAACTGCAAATAAATACTTAACAAGAACAAAGGAGTAAAATTCAGCCAAATTTAATTAACCAATTCAGTGAATACATTGTTACGCTAGAGTGAAAACGAGAAGTACAAAGCATGGAAAGTGTGGTCATGTGTGACGTCACGAGCTGCGACGTGATTTTCGCTTCCGCGTCTCGTATACACGAGTTTGTCGTCGCTTTGATATTTTTCATGCAACAAAAACAGACTATCATTATTGCTTCGTCCGTGTATTGGTTGATATATTGCAATGTAATTGTCATTTTTTGATAATGGCTTATGTCAGCCGAAAGCTTAGATTGGATTTAAACATGAATCAATATGGTGATTTCCTTTCGTCTTTCAATGATAATGTTATTAAGCTTATCAGACAATATGAAAGAAACTTACTTAAAATAAATAGAGAAATATTGTCAATACTATTTAATAAATATATATATATATATATATATATATATATATATATATATATATATATATATATATATATAATGGACTCTCCCGTCGGTTTCGACGTATGAGGATCTGCCAGCTTATTGATTCAGTTATGAAAGTTTATGCGATAATCTTAAGTGGCATTTAAGACCCGCTAGTGATTTACAAAAGGAAACCACATATGGAGCAAGTGTGAGGATTGTGAGATGAGATCACTGTTAGATTGGCTGACCTTTTAGATCTTGATCTCGCTTCTTGAAGATGATTCAGACAAGCAGATTGAAAATTGCTGAGTCCACTAAAACACGTTGTTCTCCATTCTACCCGCTCCAAGGCTAAGCGCTCAAGGGTGTTAAGTGGTATATTGACTGCTGACAAAGTTGCTTTTCAGCTTGTCTTTGTATCTTAGCCATGGGCGTCCTACATTCCTGTAGCCCTGATCTAACTGGCTGTACATTAGGATCTTGGGTATCCTGTCATCAGACATTCTCAGGACATGACCAGTATATATATATATATATATATATATATATATATATATATATATATATATGAAAGACTTAATGGTAGTAATTTTTATTTTATGAAAGCTATAAAAATAGCTTTTAATCTTTCAGACCTGCAAACCACATATGAACGGAAAAAATACTCCGGGTTAAAATCAAGAAATACTTATATCTTACTGAGGGAGTGGGTAAAAAAAGATTCAAATTTATTATCATATAAGGGTGGGAAATATGTGTATGTCTGTATATATGGATTTATTATGTTGTTTATGATTTAGCCTCAAGTTCCATGACCTGGATGTATGTATTAAATTTTAACAGGATACGAAGTTACTTTAGAGCAAAATAAAATTAAAGCTATCCGAATTAATTGTCCATAATATCTAATAAATATACGAGTTTAGTTAAAAAAAAAAAAAAAGGAGCCGAAATTATACATCTATAATACTAAATTATCATACCCTAGATGTATTTATTAAAATTTTACAGGATACGAAGGTAATTTAAACCAAAAATGAGATCCGATTTAATTCTCTAGTTTATATTTCATAAAATGACGAGTTAGTTCAAGAAGTATCCGACATTATATCTCGACAAGACCCGTTTCTATTGATTAGCGTGTGGTACCTAATTTGGTCAATTATATATATATATATATATTTAACCTCTTTCCATTTTTAATAGAAACATTGTAAAAATGACAGTTATAGTGGAAATATCATGAGTCAATATTATTATTATTATTATTATTATTATTATTATTATTTCCTATGATTTCTGGCGTTTACACATTTCTTTCCGGGTCCCGCCCAGGGACCTAAAGTTAGAGATGGCGTCATGACACTTTCCACTGACTAAAAAAAAAAAAAAAAATTACATAGATAAAGGCCTTCGTAAAGTGTGGGCTGTACTTGTCAGAACAATTTTTTGTATCTCCTTGAGGCATTGACTTCCAGGAATCCCTTCAATTAGTCTACTGCAATCTTTTCCAACCAGTCCTAGGGCTCCAACTACAACAGGGATTGTTGATGTTCCCATATGCCACATTTTCGAGATTTCTATTTCAAGGTCCTTGTATTTTGACAGCTTTTTGAATATCTTCAAAGATACATTGCAGTCAGCTGGGACTGCCATATCAATAAGGAGGCACTTTTTTTGTTTGTGGTCTTTAATGACAATATCTGGGCGGTTGGCTTTGATTGTTCTGTCAGTGTGTATTGTGTAGTCTCATAGAATTGTAACAGGTCCTATCTCCGTAACCGGGTCTGGGTGGTGTTCATACAATTTTCTTTCAGTTTCCTTCCCGTAGAAGTTGCAGATTTTCCAGTGCAGATATTTGCCCACTCTGTCACGTCGGGTTTTATATTCAGTGGGTGCCAACATCGTGCAACCTGATACAAGATGATCAATCGTTTCTGGATATTTATCACAGAATCTGCATTTTGGGCTAACACAATATTTTAGTATATGTGCTTGATAATTCCTAGTTAGCAAGCATTGGTCATCACGCAGCAAAGGATAAAACCTTCAGTTTCCGCTTTCAACCCTGCACTACGTAGCCACTGATGGGTACGGGATTTGTCTACATCAGCTTGTTTGGTATGGACAGAGTATTGGCCATGAAGCGGTTTATCTTGCCATCGCTTCTGTATCTGGTCGGTTGCATTCGTCTTTGCTGTCTTTTTTTTAAGTATTTTGCAGTTTCAGCCGGTGTATTGTGCTGTACTTGCATCTCTGCGCCCATTTGAAACTCAATTTTGAATTTGTTGGCTTCTTTTATTACGGAGTAAAGACGCTTACTACTTTCATGTTCCTTGACGCATACCATCATCCAGTCTTCTGTAGTTTCCAAGTATCTTTGGAGGCCAATTGTTGTAGTTTTGTAGGACAGTTCTAGTTGAACTAATCTTCTGCCTCCTTCGGATCTGGGCACATACAGACGAACAACGTCAGCTTTGGGATGATGCATGCGGTAGCAAGTAAGAAGCTTTCTCGTTTTTTGGCGTCCATTCGCTTAATTTCAGCTATGGTCCAGTTAAGGACATTAAAGCTGTATTGCACCACAGGGACAGCCAATGTGTTTATGGCTGATATTCTGTTTTTTGAGTTTAGCTCAGTATTTAGTACCAGACGTACACGCCTGTAGTACTCTTTTCTTATTTTTTCCTTCATTTGGGGGTGTTGTATGCCATCTCCTTCGCTAATTCCTAGGTACTTATAACCTTCATCATGCTCCGTCCCCTAATCTTTGTGACAAAATCTAAATCTATTAAGGGTGTTTCATTATTATTATTATTATCATTATTATTATTATTATTATCATCGTCATTATTATCATTATCATCATCATTGTCATTATCATCATTATTATTATTATTATCATTATTATTATTATATTATTAAAAATGTTCGGTGTCGATTAATTTTATTGATCGACATTTACGAATTACGAATAATCGATCGCAAATAAGGAGGAGGTTCCGCCAGAAACTGTCCAATGTTCCTTTTGGAAGAAATGTGGTTCAAACTTTTGAGTCATCCTCAAAGTAAATAGAGACAAATGGTGAGTTTAGTAGAACTAGCAAGTGCTTTGAAGTAAAACAAATAACGTTGTGACTTAATTAAGGTGTGAGTCGTCTGTGTTTGCTTATTTTATTCATTTATTTATTTATTTATTTTTTCATCCATTTGAAGATGCGAGATCTTAAGTGATAATTGTTTTTATTTATAGAGGGATGTTTTTGTTTTGTGATTGTTGCTTCATGGATTATGAATCTTTTTTTTTTTTATGTCGTGCCTGGTCAGAACTTGTTCTAGACTCGACACATTATTAAGACATATATATATATATATATATATATATATATATATATATATATATATATATATATACATACACTCACATATATATATATATAT